TGACAGCAGCAAAAATACTCAGAAAATTAGAATGCAGAATGCCGTCTTTGTAGACCTGTAAACACAGCACTGCAGAGGGTGAAGCCAAATATGGACCAAGGGAACTAAAAAAGCCTGAGTTGAATTGTTGTTTCAATGTTTTGAGACTGTTCCAAATGCACCTCAAATATACTACCTGCAATTCACACAGCAGAACTAAACATTCCATTATAAAAGGTCTAGAAACCACAAGGGAAAGAAAACATGGGCCTTTTTTTTGTTTAAATCATTAAGAAACAACTCTTCACAGAAAAGATCATTTTGTGTTTTACTCAGGCAAGGTAACTCACACAAGACTTCATTCTTTTCTACCTCACCACCTAGTACACGTTACAGAGAAACACTGTCTTTGTCTTTCATTTTCTGTAAAATAATATAATTAGGCAGAAGCTTATAACTTTGGAACTTTGAAGAACTAATGAAGTAAGTAAGATTAAGATACATAAAACATAGAGCTCAGATCTTCCAACCAGGGAAGACCTTATAGTTATACACTCATAGTAGCTTTCTTAAAAGCTATAGATACAAAACCACCCTCATCATCATGCCACAGTACTTTAGATTGCATATAAAACAACTTAGTTGGGCATATTTTCTGCTCTCTTTGGGCATAGGAGTAAGCAGAAGAGACACTGGGGACAGTCCGATGAGAATTTGAGGACTACCATCTCAACTAAGAACATAAGATACCAGGAGATAGGTTCAAATTATAGTTATTATACCATCAGGCTACCCAAGTTATCACAGTTCATATGATTAGAAAGAAATAATAATTCTTGTTATCTCTTCTTCATCCTCAATTCCCTCAGAACTTACACATCAGGGACAAGGACAGAATCTCTAGTTAATGGAAAAATACAGACCCCAGATAAGACAGGGAACTACATCATCTTACTGTCATGTTGCCTAGCAACAGGACATTGAGTCAGAGCCCTTGACCCTTTTACCCTGTAAACATCTTATACAAACATCTTATTAGCTTGCCCCACCTTAAGCAGATGACAGCTTCTTGTTCCCCCCACCTTGTAGGAACTATATAAACCCTTCTGGAAAAAAAATAAAGTTGCACCTTGATCAGAATCTAGACTTGGTGTATTTCCTTTGGTTCTTCTGTCCCTACATTCCCTCCGTAGGGTAGTCGAGTACCCGTTGTAGCCCTACAGGCAGGACACTCACGTGACTAAACTGTGGGTTTGTGTGGCCATGATGAAAGGCTGTAGATATGGCAAACATTCCTTGCTTGTTGGCTGGTGAAGGCTCACTCTTGAATCCTGAAGTGAATATAATAGCAAGAGCTTCCTGATGCAGAAAGACCACTGTAAGAAGAGCAAACAGGGATATATAGTCCCAGATTACACAGATCAAGCTGATGACCTGGAGGGACGGGCTAACTAATTATTCTTACATAACCTTAGAAACTCAATGCACAGAGCTGGTGATTATTCATACTGTTCCCAAATATTGCAGTCTCTAAGGAATTCCTGCTGTTGATGAAGGAAGCAGAAGAGATGTTCTCAAGACGTTAGGTATGAGCTCCTAAATTTTTCATTTTTCATTTTATTTCAGTTTGGGCTCTCTTTAGTAGTAGTAGTAGTAGTAGTAGTAGTAGTAGTAGTAGTAGTAGTAGTAGTTGTTTTCTGTTGTTAAATTCTACTGAATGTGCTGTTCTGTGTCTGCAGAAATCATCTAAAGACCAAGATTAATTCTCAAGATTCATGCCAAAACACATGGATGACCCTGCAAAGGAGAGGTGGATGAGATCTACATGAGTGGACTGGTTGTAGGGGGCAGGATGGTGGAGGGCAAGGAGTTGCGGTAGGAACATGAGGAAATGGGAGGGTCGGACTGGAGCAGGGACAGAGTGGAAGGGCAGGGAGGAAGATGCCATGGTATATTGGGACATCATGGGAATGGGAGGATGCGGGGGTGCTGGGGAGGCTCTGAGGAGTCCACAAGGTTGACCCCAACTTGGTCTGCTGGCAGTGGTCCAGAGGGTGCCTGGACCAGTGTACTCTGGTGACCAGCCTAGCAAATAACCTACCTGTCATCATAGAGCCTTGGTCCAGTGACTGATGGAGGCAGATGCAGAGATCTATGGCCAGGCACCAGGCTGAGCTCCGGGAATCCAGTTGATGAGAGAGAGGAAGGATTCTGCAAGCGGGGGATATCGAGGTCATAATGGGAGGACCTGTGGAGATGACGGGCCACACTGGTGGAAGCCCATGAACTGTGGGCTGATGGCTGTGGAACCCCCATGGGACAGGACAAGGCCCTCTAGATACGGAAGATGGTTGTTTGGCTCCAACTGTTTTTGGGTGCCCAGGCAGTGGGATTGAAATCTGTCCCTAGACTATGGGCGGGCTTCTGGGAATCAGATGCCTGAGGTGTGACTCTTTGCACAGCCTTGGTGCAGTGGAAAGGGGCTTGGGCCTGCCTGAGCTCAGTCGGCTGGGCTCTGCAGACTTCCCGTGGGAGACCTCCATTTGGGGGATGTAAGGATGCCGAGTGGCTTGGGAGAGAGAGCTGGGGGTTATAGAAGGGAGGAGAGGAGATCTGTGTATGGTTTGTGGACTGAGTGAAGGGTTTCTAAATAGAGAGAAATGAGAGAGAGGAAAAAAAAGAATCAGGCCAGAGAGATCTTTGACTGCAGGAAATCCCACTGTTGACATTGACTTCTCCTCAGAAGGTCTCTTACAAGCTTCTGTGCCCAGCAGTGCCTCCACTGACATCTAAAAGACCCTCACAGAAGCAGCAGATCTCTGTGAGTTCAAGGCCAGCCTCATCTACAAAGTGAGTTCTGGGAGAGCCAGGGCTGTAACACAAAGAAATCCTATTTCAAAAACACAAAAAGAAAAAGTTTTAAAAAAATTGTAATGATTTTATTTCCAAATCAGTTAACAAGCTCTATTTGGAGATGAAAATGATGAGGGAAAGGAGGAAGAGAAGATTAAAATCCTATTTTAATTTGTTTCATTGACCATGGTTACGACAGAAAAGACTTCACAAATGTTATTCAAAATATAGCTGTGATTTAAAAGATATACTGTTTATTATATTGTATTATATTCAAGTGTATATATAATTTTCAGAGGGCACATTCCCTCTGGTAACATTTGTGAACTCCAATGATCAGGAAATTAGTGGACTAAGACCAGGATCAGTATATTAAGGACAAATGCCATTGAATCATCTGTTAAATTTACAATTTTATTTTATTTTTATAAATATTCCACATAAAGTCCATTTCTTCATCCAAGGCTATCTCTCTAAATAGAGTAAGCACACATTACCAACAAAGTCAGTCAGAGTTAACAGCTGTGGACCACAAACAACCCCATCAGTGCATCCCCAGGTTAGGCTCTCACTTGTCTCATTCTGGAGGAAGGCAAACTCCTTCAGAGGAAATCAACTGGAGACAATTCCACACAGCCACAAATCCCAATGCATGGATTGGAAAATGACATCTTCCCAGTCCTTCAATGTTATAAATCAGAGAGCAGAATGTCAGGGCAGCAGGTTCCAGAAAGGAGCTGAAACAAGTTTGTCCCATTAGGAGATAGTCTTGTGACCATAGTGGGAAGGGGACATGATCAGACCTTGAAGTGGGAGTGCATTCAAAGGACCTCACGACAGAGGAAGCATGGTGAGGCTGTGAAGGTAGAGAGCTTGATGTGGGAGAGGAGGAAAGTTACCTGCCTTGTACAGCATGATGTGAGTTCTAAAAGGGAAAGATAGGCCCCTCAGTGGCCCTCAGAAACATCCTACAGAACAAATGTTTATTACTTGAATAGTTTGTCTGGGGGTAGGAATTCCCTCACCATTTCATTGGTCAGACACAGTGTCCATGTGTCCTAGTGCTTTCTACTGCTGTGATAAATGCCATGATCAAAAGCAACTTGGGTAGGAAACAGTTTATTTGATGTATACATCCCAATCACAGTCCATCATTGACTGAAGCTCGTGTCAGAATTCAAACAGAAGTAGAAATTGTGAAAGAAAGCTACTTACTGCCTTGTTTCTAAGCTCCTTTTCAAGTGCCTTTCTTATAATTCTAAGAACTACCTGCCCAAGGGTAGCACTGCCTGAAGTGGGCTGTGCCCTCCCACATCAATCATCACTCAAGAAAATGACACACAGACACTTGTAATGGAAGTTCTTCCTCAATGGATGCTCCTTCTTCATGTTGACTCTATTTGGGAAAAAACTAACCAGCATGCTAAGGGAAATGGAAGATTCATGTACTGAGTAGGATCATAAATTTATCTTGCTATTGTAAGGAGGGGGAATTGGATTGCTCTCGCCTCATCCATCCACCTACCCACCCACCCCAGCCTGAGTACTCAAAGCAGGGTTGTCTTTATAGAGGACAGACTACAGGAGAGTTAGCTTGATTTCTGGGAGATAGAGGGGCAGGTAGAGGGGCTCATATCTAACATCCTCCATTGATCATTGTCTCAAGCTATCCTCAGGATCAATGGGAGAGAAAATCCAAGTGAAACTTTCAGGTCTAGGATGTCTAAGGATGAGGCATACTGAGCTTTCCCCTTCCACATAATCATGTCTATTCATTTCTTCCTTATTCATGGCCTGTTCAAGGCAGCCTGGTTGACAAGACTGGTTATCTGTCATTTCTAAAACACAATCTCAGCAGACTAGCCACTTTAAATTGACTTATGAGCAGCATTTAGGTGTTGCTCTCATTCATACTGTGAGGTGTTGTTCAATAATGTGCACCATTCGTCTCTAGAAAAGTTTCATCTCTCCAACTTCAATTTTTGTGCATTTCTAAAACTACCCATTCACCATAATACAACCTCAATGACCACCACTTTATCATGCAATATTGTGAAGTATCATTTAGTAATAATGCATGAGTCAATAACTGGGATTTACATGTACAGTTTGTGCATGTATGTGCCTGTGTGTGGTGGGGGGTGTGTAAATTTATAAAGAATGTCAGTGATTATAATGCTCTGCTAAGAATCTTCCTTAAGGCAGTTTTAATATCCTTGTTCCGCAGGCTGTAGATGAAGGGATTTAACATAGGTGTGACCACAGTGTACATCACTGAGGCCACTGCATTGCTTCTTGGAGTATGTGACCACGAGGAGCTGAAGTACACTCCTAGTCCTGTTCCATAAAACAGGCAAACAACGGACAAATGAGACCCACAGGTGGAGAAGGTTTTGTGCTTCCCACTTGATGATGGTGATCTTATGATGGAGGAAACTATTTTAAAGTAAGAGAAAACAATTCCTGAAATAGGAATTAACCCAAAGAGAGTGCCTATACTGAATTTGACTATGGTATTGGTGACAGTATCAAAATGGGCAAGTTTAAGGACTTCAGAAGGGTCACAGAAGAAGTTGTAAATTTCAATAAAATCATCACAGTTGGAAAAATTGAATATTGCTACATAGTGCAACTGCAATTCTGCAAAGCTAAGGAGAAAAGACCCTAGAAGTAAGACCCCACAGCGAGTGGGATTCATAATGACCTGGTAATACAGAGGGTGGCAGATGGCCACAAACCGGTCATATGCCATCACAGCCAGAAGCATGTTATCCATACATCCAAATACTATAAACAGTGACATTTGTGTCAGGCAGCCCACATAGGAGATGACTTGGCAGTGATTTTGGAAGTCCACAATCACCCTTGGAACAGTGGTGGAGATGAAACAAATATCAACTATGGACAGGTTGGAGAGGAAGAAGTATATGGGTGTGTGGAGATGGGAGTCAGAGCTTACTGTCAGGATGATGAGCAGGTTTCCAAACAGGGCCAAGATATACATAGACAACAAAAGGCCTAAGAGGACAGTCTGGACGTCTGGATCCTCCGAGAGTTGAATGAAATGGAATTCTGGTACACATGTTGAGTTTTGTATGTTTTTATTTCTTGAACATCTTCTGGAGGAAACCAAAAATGTTGTTAACAATGGTACCAGCATGCATATAGACATTTTTCATAATTTGACTAAAGTTCAAATAGTACTTTCTCAAGCTAATTGTGACCTCATTCATAATTCTTCAGTTGTGGTAAATGCCATTTACTAAATAGAGTTGTGTTCTTGGCTCATGTGTTACCTATTATGAGAACCTTATTGAATACAGTAATCGTGATGTGAAGCTAGAATTACTGTAAACAGCTGGCCTGTAGCACAGTAAAATGAAGCAAATACCTTTAAGACAAAATGGATATTTTTTGAAGCTTTACTTTAAGAAAACTGTCAATTAAATCAAATAAAAACTTGAAGCACTTAAACATATTGCTTTTTATTGCAATAACATGGAGCAGGTTTATTTTTCTTAGTATATATCTGACAGTGTAAACTCTTAGTCTATAAGTAAAAATTAACAATTCCTACCCAGAAAATTATTTTCAGGTTCCAGTGTCTTCTATAGGTTTCTTTTTTTTTCTTTACTTAAAAAGAATATTCTTCATTTTTTGTTTTGAGATTTAAGTCTTCCTTTCAAAATTAGATCTTTAAAACCTATTAGTACATGTATCCCTTATTTCTCTTAGTGTATTTCAAATTTTTTGTAAATATATCTTAGTTAAATCCATATTATCACAGAACATCTCTGTCCACAACTGCTAAGATATCCAGTGATGTGAAAAAATGTCAGTAAATATAGTTGAAATTTTATCCTGCAAAACTAACTTGCGGGGAACATCCACATAATCTCAGTAAAATATCTGGTAGAAAAACATGGTTTTCCTATGTTTAAGCAATGCCATTGATTTTCTGAAGTGCAATCAGAGTAAAGTGATTTACACTTTACTTTAGAGTAAAGTGATTTTCATGTGAGTCAGGCCTGGTGTATAGGTGTCAATGTTCTTACTTCAGCTACAGAGGAAATTTCAGGTTCACTCTTTGAACATAAAACATGCTTAAAACATAAAGTTTTTAAATACAGAAAGTATTAATGATGTAAACACATGCGCAGTGCCCTAATGGCTAAAGTAGATACCACTTGCTTCTCTACTAGGTCTGTTAGAGGAGATAATGTTGTTAAAGGTCATTTCAGTTGTGTAGACTAGTGGGTCTCTGAAACAGTTAACAGTGTATTTTTTCCATGGCTACTTAAAGTATCACAAAATCTTGGATTTCACAGGCTAATTTAGTCAGAATATGTGCATGGGAAATACTAGATTATACTTACTTAAACCTGGATAAGAGACCACTGCCTTAGATTATTTCCTGGCATTTATGAAGTATTCAATTAATACTTTCTAAGCAATAATAGTTTTAACAAGAAACCCACCATTACTAAATTATAAGCATTTTTTATATTATGTATGTTAGATGTGATATTTTACAGAAATTTGATTTATGATCAATGAACTTTGAGTTTAGTGCTCTACATGATTTCATTGTCTAGTTCATCTATGTCAATGGCTGATAGAAACTCAGGGGACAGATTTTTTACCGTGCTATTACTATATAAACATCTATTGAAGTATATATAAAAAGACATTTTAAACTAACCTAATACATATATGATACTCATTCAGTAGTATGCAACACAGCACATGCTGTTCCTAAAACGTATTTGCTAACATTGAAATGTGGTTCTAAGTCTGTCTGTGAGTTTCCAGTATCTATTGTACAGGTATTAGCTAAATCATTCTCTCACGTACACACATGCATTAGTGTTTAAGTGCCATATTATTATAGGAAAAACTGGAAACTAAGGATAATAAACTGACATTTAAAAGGACCTATAGATTGCTTAGGAAATATTAAACCACAGAAAGTAGCTGAAGGAGTGCTCCCAGTTGTCTTTTCAGGAGAGCACATTCTGCCAGGCAGACAGAAGAACTTTGATCAACAGCCGCCCAGTCAAGCAGTCCTGGGCTGTCACCAGAGAACTATGACAACAGTATACATGAAAATCTCCCCATTTGTCCAAGCAATCACATTGGAATTTCTGTCTCTGTAAAACATAGTTAATTACTCAAATCGTAACTTGGGGATATGAAAATATAAAAGCTAACAGATATTTCTGACCCTGACTGGCTCCCTTTTGTCCATTCATCCAGGCATGCACACTGACTAAAAGAATTTTCCCTTGTTAATCTCTAAGTAGTCAAGTGGTTTCTAACTGACCAGGCTTGTTAATTCAGTCACAAAATTACTTCAATCATCCAAAAGCATATCTATCTTCCTCTGTTCATGCCAGTAGCTATTTAGTTACCTT